CTAAGTTATTGAACGAGTGAAAAGATCGAGTATAAACCTACTCGTTACGTAATTAAGCACTGCAACAAACAAAGTATAATTATTTCCTCTAATCTACAATAATTGGAAGTGGTTACATACCAAGAACAGCTATATGATTTCTTGTTTTTTATATTTTCGTTTTTGTGTAAGTTGTGTTTTGATTAAAATTTTCGAAATGTATCCTATAGAGAATATTAAGACACACTGACAATCGAACAATTATATTAAACTCGTACACGCGCGATTGTTATATCTATAATAGCGGGAACGTAATAGGGATGAAATAACCGGATGTGCTGCTATATTCTTTTACATATATCTAAGCATCTTCCTCTCTATTTATCATAAATATTTTATTTATTCTACCATTTACTAGCGTATAAATTCATTCAATTTACCGGAACAGCGCGTCGTCGATCACTGCGTAAATCATAACGCGGAGAGATCATGCAGAGGACATTGTAACGCTTTAAACAGTCATAGCGCTCTCGTGAGAAGAATATATTACACATTAATATGTCACACGCCATTGTGCATTATTACATTACAAAGATATATATACACGCGGTGGTTTCGTTCAGTTTTTTTATATATTATATACACATAAATGCGTATGTACATGTATACTTTGAGCGTATTATTTTCCACATAGGCTATTCGATGGCTGGTTAGATACCTCTTATTCTGATGCCTTGAAAGAATATTTATTTTTTTCCTTTGGAGCTGACGTAAAAATCTGTAGCATTATTACTAATGCTAAGTCTAAAAGACTCATTTAGTTTATATTAATTAAAAGGTTAATTAATTTTAAAGATTAAAAGGACATAACTAGTACAAAAAAAAATAAATATTGATTGCAAATATATTTAATAAGAATAATCCGCTGATGTAACATAAAAAAATTGAACTATTTGATTTTTTTGACAGAGATTTATAATTAAATGAGTCCAATAGATCCACCGGCAACTTTAAAGAGTCAAGATAATATAAAAAATATATAGAAAATTAATTGATTAAAACATACATACAATGAACTGCATCACAGAGAACTACTTAAAAAGGAGGGTACAAATTTTTGAGGGTTTCCCGACCACTCAGGGATCGTTTAATTTATATATTTATTTATATATTTTTCTTCGTAAAAATCGAAAATACATTATAATAACACCAGACTTGAGCACGAGCGTGACGTAGTAGG